CTCCCACCTCAAGCCCCACCCCCATCTCCTACCTACTAACCTCATCCTGCCCCCTTGACCTGTCCGTCCTCCCTGGACTGACCTGTCTCCTCCCTACCTCCCCACCTACACTCACCTTTACTGGCTCCATCCCCGCCTCTTTGACCTGTCTGTTTCCTCTCCACCTATCTTCTCCTCTATCCATCTTCTATCCGCCTCCCCCTCTCTCTCTATTTATTTCAGAACCCCCTTCCCCTCCCCCATGTCTGAAGAAGAGTCTAGGCCCGAAACGTCAGCCTTCCTGCTCCTCTGATGCTGCTTGGCCTGCTGTGTTCATCCAGCTCTACACCTTGTTATCGCTCATCCTAGGGTCTACAGTCTTATCAAATATACACTGCAGGGTCTTTATTTTAGCCATTTGTTTGGCCAGAAAGTGTCATATTACAATTTATCAGTCAGAGAAACCTATCCACCAAGAGCTAAGCAATTTGCCCTAGTACTCACTTAAATTTTCAAAACATCTCCACTTCATTTTTTAAAAGTATTATGGATTCTGCTTCTACCACTATTACTGGTAGGACATTAGACCTCATAACCACCCATATTATATAAAATGAAATTTAACCCTTCTTGTCAGCCTTCTGCTGATCTTCTAATAGTCAACTTGACTCAATGGTATTCTTGTCTCTGAGTAGCAAAAAGCTGGGTCAAACCACAATGCAGAGTTTCAGGGTATATAATCTATATTTGCTCTTGGTAAGTGCCACATTGCCGGGGGCAGCATCTTTTAATTGATGTTAAACCTGTCTGATCATGTGGATTTAAACAAACCCCATTATTTGAAGGCCATTTACTGACCGACATTCATTTCTCAACCATTGCAGCCATCAAATTACCAGCTCATTTATGTCAATCTCAAAGAACATACTGCATGTTTAGTTGCTGTGCATGACAGTTTACAAAGAGGGCACTTCAATAGGAATTCATTTGCTGCGAAATGCTTTGTGATGTCTTGACAACACAACAGAAACTATATAAATGCAAGCTTTATTGGTTGCATTACTATTCAGCAACCACTCCTAGTATACAAGCAGTGATGGTCAGGTGCCATTTCACTTTGTTTTACCAATTTCGCCTTGTCTATGTAATCATTTTATCTCAGTCCCTCATTTTCTCCTTTTGTACCCTTTCAGAGATCAGTTATTATTCCTCTGAACTTTGAAAACCAAGGCAAAATATTAATTAAACATTTCCAATTGGTTCTACCCTCTAACTATTCTTTTACCATTCCCTTTTAGATTACTTGCCAGTCTTCTTCATATACATATGCAGTCATAGAAAGTCATACAGTATGGAAACAGATTCTTCAGTCCAAACTCATCCATGCCGACCAGACACCCCAATCTGACCTAGTCCCTTTTGCCAGCATTTGGCCCATGTCCCTCTAAACTCTTCCTATTCATGTACCTATCTTGACGCTTTTTAAATGTTGTAATTGTACCTGCCTCCACCACTTCCTCTGGCAGCTCGTTCCATACATGCACCACGCTTTCTGCCTGAAAAAGATAGCCCTCAGGTCCTTTTTAAATCTTTCCCCTCTCATCTTAAACCTATGCCCTCTAGTTTTGATATAGTAAGAACTGCCGATGCTGGAGTCAGAGATGACACAGTGTGGAGCTGGAGGAACACAGCAGGCCAGGCAGCATCAGAGGAGCAGGAAAGCTGACGTTTCAGGTCGGGACCCTCTGATGCTGCCTGGCCTGCTGTGCTCCTCCAGCTCCATAAAAGTATTAGAGTTCTAACTTTTAAAGAAGGTGCTGTTGATACATTGGATATTTGTGAGGGAAGGTTTGAGAACATGACAAGGTTATATTAAAAACAGAGATAGTAGGAACTGCAGATGCTGGAGAATCTGAG